CATGGTGTACTATTGACTCAGATTCCATGTCTAATATTCCGATTATGCCCAGGTTATAGTTGCGGCGCGTCTCAGCTCTCTTGGATTGAGAGCTGGTGAAGGACGGTTGAGTCTTGGTGACAGCTTATAAGTTATAGCTGGTGAAGTAGGGTTGATTCTCAATCATAGACCACCACGTTAGTGGAGCAGATGGCAACTCCCTCTCCCTTTGGAATGGTGAGTCAGGTTCACATCCAAACCAAGCCTGTCCACCTCCCTGAGGCCTGATCCCCTTGTAAAAAGGTTTGAAACCTTGAAGGTTTGATAAAGCGTGTTGATCTAATCTGGACCTTAACTTATGCTACGCCTTAATGTTTTTCAAGAAGACGCGTTTTATACTGAGGAGTTGTGATTTATTTGTTAATTTGTTTACTTCTTACTTTATTGATTAATATTTAATTTTCTAAAGAGTTTAATAAGAAAATAATTTTTTATAGATTACTTAATCCCTATGTAAATAAAAGAGATATTAGTTTCAAGATGCACACAAATTGATTAAGGTAAGACCTTTTTTGGTAGAAGGTTAAGGTAAAACTTTGAAATTGGCACCCCCATTGATTAAAAACTTAGATTCTCAATTCGAGATTTTAAATTCAAATCTTAATCTCTTCTTATATAACATATCATTAGATGTATATATATATATATATGTATATATATAAAAGCTTTGCAATTGGCAATGCCTTACAACAGCTGCATTAGTTACTTTGGTAGAGGTGCTGATGGCATTTACAAAACAGCATTCAAAACGAGATCAAGAAGTCAACAAAGTTTTGCTATTTGTATCCCAAAGTAATTCTATTGTGTGTTTGGTTTTCAGAATCAGCTTATTATTGAAGGCTGATACCCGGAAAAAGGGTAAATTTCTCGCCATTCAGAAGGGGAAGAATAAATGAATAACAAAAGAAGAAGAAGAAGAAGAAAGAAAGAAAGCAACATGAAAAATAGAGTCAAGTTCAGTATCAGGCCCGTGTTTTCTAGCCGTAAATGATGTTTAGAATGAGAATCAGCGGGTGGGTTGGTTTTTGAGCTTACTGTACGAAGAGATCTCAAGTTCAATGCGCTTGATTTCTTCCTTAAGCTCCAGCGAAGTTGTTGCCTTAGTATCTATCAAACTCGAAAGATACTTCAAACATGAAAGATACTCGGCCTTTGCTTCAGGAGAACCACCAATCAAGCTCCCAGTTCCGAACTGCGTGGAATAATTGAAATAACGATCAAACTTCAAGAGAAAAAGGGACCATAAGAGTTTGAAAGTTTGAAAAGAAATGTTAAAATGTAATTGTCAAAGGAGAGGCTACATGTGTAGACTCCAGTTTTCATCCTGGTCTTTTTCTCTTTCACCCCCCCTCTTTTACCCAACATGAACCAAGACAAATTTGGGTAGAGGAGACCAGGAGAGGAAGGTAACAACCAAGCATTCATTAGCCACAATTAAGATAAGTTTGAAAGGCCATTTCCTGCAGAGTGTACCTCTTTGTAAGCAGCAATGCATTGACGAAGTGCATTCTCAGTATCACGAGGAAGTGAGAGCTCTTCCTGCATCACAATAAAAGCAGAATAGCACGGTTAGAGAATTTTTGATAAGTGGGTATAATATATTTTAGAATAAAAAAAAAAAAGAAAAAAAATTAAAGGAATCAATACTAACTATGAACTATCATCAAAGCTCACATGGTTGAAAGGTCCAAAAGAGGAATTTAAAACATCTAGAGATTTCCGGTTCATCATGCATGACGCAAGATATGAACTGTCATCATATCATCTATGGAATACCTTAACAGTTCTAATGTGAAACTTTTGATCTTCAGTAAGATTCCTTGTATATGAGAGGGCTACTCACGTCTTATATGCAAGTGGAAAAAAGTATTTGTGATTATCACAGACCATAAGAGCATATATACTAACCCTTGACTCAAGTAATTCCTGCCTGGTCTTTTCCAAGAGAGCAAGTGCATGGAGTGACTGCAACTGCAAGCACAACCAGAAATCTACTAATTCCATATTGGAGGATATCTTGTTATAATATTTAATAATCATGACAAATATTAGAGCCAACAAATTGACAAAATAAAAAGATTGACTTTTGGTTTACTAGTTTTTAATCTTCACATTGCTACCAGATTGAGAAAATTTTATCATTTTACTAACAAATAATAGAAAATCAGTTTTCCAAGGGAACTGACCAGTATGACCAGTGCTGCACGCCCATTAGTTTGAGTTTCTTTAGGATCTCCATATTTTTTCTTCTTGTCTTTCTGTTTCATCAATTTATCTATTACTCCCTGTGCAATCCTATCATGCAAAAGAACTGCTTGTAAGCTATCTGTAAGAATCTAGAATAAAAAGGACAAATCAGAATAATTACTAGCTAAGTTATATTAGTTCTATTGTATGGAACTGAAAGTCAGATTCAAACAGAGAAGAAATAATAGCAGGTTATCATCAATGAAATGAAGAATAAAATATTGTTCAACTAGTAAAATTGTTTGTCAATGCAGAGTTTCTGTGAACAAACAGAAAGTCCTCAGGAGAAGTACATTATTATGATTGAGAAATAATACAATCCTGAATGACTACAACTAGAGGTGGAATGCACATAGCTTCCAAGTAGATAACTTGGAGGAAGAAAGGAAGTTTAGTTTCACTTCCCCTTGTTGTCACATAAATTTGTTACCAAGATAATTATGACAGATAAAACAATACCAACCTCATTGAATTTTGTAAAAGATCCTTTGCCTTGTCAAGCTGAATAATTGCTTCAGAAATATGCATCTTCCTCAGTTGACTAGAATTCAGCATTGTTACCCGAGCAATGTGAAGCATGTTGGCAGCAATCTGTTCAGAGAAAGAAAGCAAGCCCCACTTAAAGTGAATTAATTCTTTTTTCTTGTGGCAGTTACTATGTAGAAATTTGCAAGTTAGTCCAGGCAAATTAGAACACTAATCACAATTTCAGGCTTCAATTTATCAGTCAATGCTAGTGCTAATTAAAACTAAATAAATATATAAAAGTGCTTGCACAAGGCATCAAGATTATATCAATAATGAGTGATGAGTCAAAAGGAATACCTGTATGTGGTCATTGGGAAGTAAGGTTCTCCGGGCATCAAGGCATCTGCAAAGAAAATTGTGTGGCCTCTATGATATTGAAACTGTTAGGCAATTAATTCTGCTGGTGAATTAACAATTGATAAATAACCTTTCAAGAAGTTCCTGTGCTTCCATTAAATTCCCAACTGCTTGTAGGGTCAACGCTAAACTTTCAGCAGAAATTACCGTGTCCAAAGAATTCCATCCCTGTAACACAAGGCAGGTACTGAGGCAACATATGATAACAGACACATAGTGAATGAGATAACAACACACAGGGAATTTATAAAACCTATTAAATCCAAATAGAAATGGGAGAGTAAAAAATAACTTAACTAGATTGTGGAGTTATAACAAAATTGCAAATTAGTTACCAAATAATCAAAATTCAAATAACCACACATATATGCATTCATCTATCCACACAAACATGCATGTATGCAAGCAAATAGAAAAATGGGGAAAAGCCAAACCTTTGATAATTCCATAATTTGAAGTATCTTTCTCTTTACATTTTCAGCATCTGCAGGACGATTGGATTTCAAATATATCTAGAGTAAATAGCAAGGATAAATACATTAGTGGTTCATAGAGCAACAACAAGAAACATAATAATCAAATAAATGGGAGAATGCATAATTAACTGCTAAATGCAACAAACAAGAAAACACTGTGACTCTATCTGTAATTATCTGTAATAAAATATTCATAAATGGATTAGAAACAAGGATAACACAACATCCAGTTTCAAAAGTTTTAGTTGCTTCAAGAAATAGAACTAATTTCGCACATAGAGAGTTTTCAAAGTGTAAAAGTGGACATGCAGTGCAGACTTGCAAGAACAACTCAAAGCACTAACAACCTCCAATAAGTGCAGAGTAATAAATAACATGGCCAGTATGTAAACTCCAAAGAAGAGTAATGGTAAAAAAAAAAAAAAAGAGGAAGGAAGAAGAAGAAGAAGTGTCCATTGGAAAATTTGCAACAGTAAGTATATACTTACACATTACCTCAAGAGATCCAACTTCTCTGAAGAATTCAATTTTATGTTTGCTACACATTTAATTAGCCTAAGCAACTAACCATTAGGTGTCTTCTTTGCAATATCAATTTACAAAATGATTTACTTACAGGAAATAATATGATTTGAGTTTCATTAAAAACAAATCAAGATAGATACTTGGAAAATTACAACCTGAGCAAGATAGCGCAGTCTCTTCATGCATGTAATTGACTCCCCTTGGCCACCTTCCTAGATAGTCGAACAACACATTAAAAGTTATAAACATCCTAAAACAGTAAATTGAAACAAAAGAAAGCCCAGAATCAACAGCAATTTTCAGTAGCATTGTAAAGTACCTCCAGTATTCTAATAGAATCCAGAATAAAGTCCTCAGAATCCTTTTCATTTCCTTGAAGATACATAACCTGTACTAAAATATATAAGTTGCTCAAACAAGAAAATACAGAATATTATACCTTACAAAAGATGAGATACATATTGTAATTGAATTAAAAATATCACATAACGTCATAAACCATAACCATAGCAACCACAACTACCTTAGTGATCATTAAGCAGATAAAAATGTGAACAAATACCATGTAGGAAACAGATTCAAGAACAAAATACAAGTATGAACAAACTAATGTCCCTACCTCACAGAATGGTACATATGACAATCAAAATATGAATAACAGCAGAAAAGGAAAGGACTAATAGCGGCTAATTTAACGAAGTACCATTCCAAGGTGATACATTGTTTCTGCATAGTCCTCATGGCTAAGTCCCTGAACCCGTCCCTTTATCTAAGTGATTATCACGTAAAAGCTCACAGTTAGGCCAAATTTAGAAAGGACATACTAAAGAAGAAACATAACATGTTGGATACCAGAGTTGTAAATAAAGCTGACTTAAGTAGAAAAACTGGAAAAGATAATTATCTTAGAATTAAATGTTAATTTGGGAGCATCTATTCATACACATAACAACATACCTAAATGCAATAACTCGGCCATACCTTTAAAGCACGCTATCCGGTGAATCATCAAACAGAAAACCAAATAATGAAACAAATCAGTAGCAGAACAAGTCACTGGTAAATGTGATATAAGGCAGTAGGTAAGTAAAATATTCAGATTTCAGAGTACAGATGCACAATCGATACCAAATGCAATTAAGTTAATAATGCCCATTCAACCAATAACCACATTCAATTACCTCATAGCATCTGCAAGACTCTTCCAGTTTCCGTTGCATAAGATAGAATTTCCCAAGGTTGTGAAAGGCAAACGCTACACTGTAGAACATCAGGTTATTATTTACAAGGAGCAACTACTGAACGAAATAGTAAAGGAGATTATTGAGCCTTCAAAATAAAATCACCATCTAAAAAATAGTATTTCAGATCAATAAGGACGGTATATGTCCAGTTGAAGGATATCACAGTATACCGGATATCATTAGGACCATATGTCTCCTCCAATATGGAGATAGCGCTTAAATATAAAGGTTCTGCTTTGTCAAGTGCCTTTTGAACTCTAAAGAGCTCTGCCTGAAAAAGTTAAAAGGAAAATATAAATAGCAGCAAAAGGCCAAAACCTACATTCAAAAATCCAGAAGACAACAGGACCTAATAGTTTTTCCATAAAAGAAAAATGGCACGAGGCTGCCAAATGATTCTTAATAAACCTACCAGATTGTTGCATGCAGATGCAACATGGGGGTCCCTCTCTCCAAATCCCTCTTTAGCTTCCTGTATTGCAGAAAGGAAAAACTTCTCTGCTTCCTCCAGTTTGCCCTACAATTAAAAAGGAAATAATTTTTCATCACAACAGAAACTAAAACACATAAGAAACAAAAAGAGAAAGATATAGCAAAGAATGCTCACCTTAATAAAAAAATCCCTCCCAAGATCAGTGAAAATTCTCCACTTAGCAGTGTGTTCATTAGACACCACAGAACCATCCTCAATTTTTTCCAACCCAACTATGTTAGATCCTTCAACTTCATTATTGGAACCAGATTGAATTGGTACGTCTTCAGCAAAAACAAGGTTGGCGTTTATCCCCAAAAGGAGTACACCAGCTTGTCCTGAGAGAATAATCCAAAGAGGATGATCCCAATTACTTATCCGCCTGGTATGATGACCTCTGGCACCATTTTGATATGAGCCTGCAAAGGAAGAATAATCGCTAAAATTACTGAATGAAAAACAGAAGGCATAAAAAAAAAAGGCAGGATTAAAATTGATGCATCAGACATTATATATTGAAAGAATCAGCAGAATCAAATGAATGCTGTTCTGTCTGAGATACTTACGGGAAAGTGAAATTGGCGGCGGAAGGGTGGACGGTGGAGGTCGTGGGGGAGCAGATGCGAATGTTGATGGCGGAGGACGGAATCTCCTTAGCAGATTCGCCGCTGCTTGTCGGAAAACCATCTTTGCCACTTGCCAGTGATTGTTAGAGGGAGAAAGAACTCACCTGGGGTTTAAGTTCAAGAGCTAAACCCCTAGT